AGAAATAAACCTCGAAAATTCGCCACGTGTTTTCTAAAAGTTTAAACACTGACGCACAGCTAACATTCAAATGCAAATGTTTATTTTAAATTCGCAATTAATTAAATTTAAATACATTTTTTATTCACAATCTCCTCATCACTGGCAGGCAAAGCACTCAATTCAGCATGTGTTCGTGTTTGTGTGTGCTGTCTGTGTCACTCATAGCACGTGCCTATATCGTGCACTATATCGAACATTTTTTCTATCGATATCGAAGAAGGTGTACCGTCGATAAATATCGATACCGTTTTATCGCCCAGGCCTATCACACCCATTTTTAATATCATGCTTCTCAAAGTAACATACATGCAAATGGTAAGGTAGTCATCACTTTTAAGTATGGAACATGATTTTAGTATGATTATGAAAGGAATGACATATCTACCATAACATTTTGACTACACAGAAAAATACTTAGAAAGAGGATGAGATATTAATCAATGATCATAAAGCATTCTTTATACTGTAAATGTCGATAAGATGCACATTGCTTTTTACAAGTATCCTGGCATGCCCATCTTATTCAGTTGTGCTCATTGAGGGCTGGTTGTAAGTGTTGTCTGTACAGCATATATAGTTTTGTCCTTCTCCTTTTTCCTCGAGAAAAGAGGCCAAGAGGTTTTGGACCTCAAACTGGGGTGATGCAAATACTTATAAATAGATTTAAAGCTTTGGCAACATTAAACAAGGTCTCAGAAACAGCTTTTTCAAAATTTTCCAAGCCACTTAAATGTTCAGAACGGGATCCAATGGGCTCATTCTTTCACTGTCCCCATGCATTCAGACGGCCTTCTCATCTACATCTCTGCAAATAAGATCAATGGAAATCCAAGAGCACTGGGGCTCTCTGGAGAAATAAACACAAACACTGCATTGTCAGCTAAATTATAAAGCAGCAGAACAGCTAGCATTTGGTGGTTATGCACAATAAATCCCCTGTAAGGGAACAGAATATTAAATGAGAAGTTTTTTCCTCGTGTCTTCCTAAATAAAATATGGAAACTTCTTCTGCTGTAGAGGCTATGATGCTCTGATACTATATTATAAATTAAAAATTCAGAATTTATGATCATAATCAGGGATGATGTCATAACTAAACAGTAAATACCCATGCAAATCATATTTATAATGATCTTAAAAACTTATTTGTATGACTTAATGCATTGCTATTTATTACATAGATATTATTGTATATACATATGGCTTATGTTAATTGGAATACATATGGACAAATATATTAAACAAAAAATGAACAGTCCTAACTGTTGACTAGAAGCACTATAAGCTAAGGGAGACTGCTTATGATATTTTAAGGAAAAACTAATTTCAAAGCAATTACAAATGATGAACAGGGTAAACTGTAACTCCACCGACATGTTTCAGTGAATGTGATTTCCATGTGCGTACCATCTCGGCAACAAGACTAGTCATTTTCTGCCTGATTTAGAGCAACCAAATGCCAAAACAAAAGCCTTTTCTGATCTCCTTTATCAAGCCTCCATCACCCGCCACCACGACCACAGCAGCAGCCGGCCTCCTTCCTCGAGTGCAGGGCTTGAGCGGCTGCCACAGTGGCATTACTCATTCCCATAGACACATACACAGTGCTAAACAATCCCTCTGAGGGCGATAAAAGTGAGGGGATTCCTTCAACCACCAACATCTTTATTTTATTTTGCAGTAACACATGGCTGACTTTGATTACATCACAGTTCATGGAGGTCAGCCCTGTGCTCTGTAGCTGTTCCAGATAGCAGTGAAAGCCTCCATACATCAGCAGCTGCAATGATGGAGCGCTACTAAGCAACTTTCCACTTAGACTGAATTTGATGGGGATGAGCTTCTTAGCTATAGGTGCAATGTTAAGAGCTGGATTTGTAATTTGTCTTTTGTGTTTAACTTAGGACGGGAACAAACGCAGAATAGAGGATCAGCTAATAGTAAATGGAAGTAGGAGAATGAACCATGCAATAGAAAAGGAGCACTATGTACTTTGTTGCAATTCCTTATAAAATGACTGGCCAACTGGTTTTATTTATTTGCCAAACTTCTTTTTGTGAACAAGCCCTCTAGCTCTTTTAATACTTCCTTTCTCCATTTTCCTTCTAAAGCTTGTTTTGACTTCATACTCCCACAATGATTTTATTATGCATTACTTATGAATTAGAAATCAGAAATATCAAAAGAAAGTGAATAAATGACAAATGAATTTTCATTTTTTTGAAAATCAAATCAAATCATATAAGGATTCCAAATCTTCCTAAATACAATACAATAATTTGTGGTGTCAAGGCTATACTCTGATACTATATCCAAATAATTCAATAAATATATACAAAAATAAATAAATGTTCAGAATTGATTATAATATGCAAGCCATATTTCTCATGAACCTTTTGGCTTAAATTTACATACACATTATTGCGTGTACGTTTGTGTGTATATATAGTGTTTGTGTTATTACAATTGTTTTATTGACTACTAATGTATTCTAAAATGTGGAAAGTTCAAACTGTTAACTAGAAACATTAATACAATTTTATAAAATAAAATAAATATACAATAAGATATAAAAAATAAAATATGCATTGTATTATTAGAATAAAAATTTGAGTAAAAAGTTCAATTAAAAAAATTCCTATATGTTCCATAAACTCCATAGGTTTGTGTCAAACCTGATGATCATGTTCTCCAGAATGATTTGAAATGATCCAAAGTGCATCTTGAATTTCAAAAGAAGAACATTTGACAGAATCATATCAATGACACTAAATTATTTGATTGCAGAATTGTATTTTTGTTTTACATTTAATGTCACAACTTTAACATTCATTTATTTATTTATTAATGATTAGTATTTAATCCTTTGATTATTGTAGCTTTAAAAAGTCAATTTTTAAAGTGATCTCAGACTTACAGACCCCACTGCATCCATGTATAAAATAGAACAAACCAATAAACCTAAAATTGCTTAATATAACGATAAAGGCATATAAAATCTATATCCTTGTATATAATCTGCTCCAAAATGTGTACCAGTGAGGACCATATTCCTCCTAATTCATTGCATGCCCACTGGGAAATCAGCAGTTAATCTTCAAATAAGTGGAAACAAGGCCTCAAAGTCAAGCGGTTCAGAAATGGGCTGGAACAAATGACAAAGAATTACGCAATCCAGTCTGTGCCATGAGCAGTGAAACAGAAACCATTTGCACAGAAAGACCGAAAACAGTCATTATATTCAGGCAAAACTGTCAGCAAATACACGCAAGTGCCTTTTCATTATGAACAGGACAACAAATGAAACGCTCCAATCTATAATTAAAACCGGATCACAGTTCAGTGTGCACATTTTCTCCAATTCAAGCTTCAGGGTTCTAGGACGTATGGAAAAGCAACCTCTTAAAACAGGACTGCAATGAATCAGAAATGATTCCTGTAACTGATGCATGCACACAGTGTCTGGCCATGTGACATTTCAATCTTTCTAGTTAGACCTGAAGCATTTTGGAATGCAGAGAACACTGAATAAAGTCTGTGGTTTTTTAAAGATGACTGGCATTTTGTCAGTTTGTCAACTGTATGTCAGCTTCTGTGTCTAGCATAAACCAAAAAATAATAATAATCATCTAAAATATATTCATAAATATTGGCATATTATTTGTAGGTCTAAATTGGGTGTTGTGATATACACAGAATCAATGAATTACACTAACAAATTGAATAAACTTTGTTGTTAAATGTAAATTTAACTAAGTACATAATTTAATGATGCATAATATTCTATTTAATAATGTCATTGTCAAACTTTCCTTGTGGCAAAGCTAAACGTTTGGCAAGAGCGCTGGGCTTGTGGTATCAGACAAACGGTCCCGCCGCAATTACTTATAAACAACATGCTCCCTCTTTTTCCATCTTTTCTCAATTTGCAAAAGTGCTGTGGCTCAGTGTGGAATGTCAACTCTGCCACTTGCATCCCAAATCATTAAGGCCCCCAGTGAGTCTGAACTCACTACCATCATGAAACAATTCACATTTAAATTATAATTCCTTATTTATTAAATGTCAATAAAATGCATATCATTTTCTACAAGTATCCTGACGTACTCCGCCTATCCGGTTGTGCTCACTGAGGGCTGGTTGTAAGTGTTGTCTGTACAGCATATATAGTTTTGTCCTTCTCCTTTTTCCTCGAGAAAAGAGGCCAAGAGGTTTTGGACCTCAAACTGGGGTGATGCAAATACTTATAAATAGATTTAAAGCTTTGGCAACATTAAACAAGGTCTCAGAAACAGCTTTTTCAAAATTTTCCAAGCCACTTAAATGTTCAGAACGGGATCCAATGGGCTCATTCTTTCACTGTCCCCATGCATTCAGACGGCCTTCTCATCTACATCTCTGCAAATAAGATCAATGGAAATCCAAGAGCACTGGGGCTCTCTGGAGAAATAAACACAAACACTGCATTGTCAGCTAAATTATAAAGCAGCAGAACAGCTAGCATTTGGTGGTTATGCACAATAAATCCCCTGTAAGGGAACAGAATATTAAATGAGAAGTTTTTTCCTCGTGTCTTCCTAAATAAAATATGGAAACTTCTTCTGCTGTAGAGGCTATGATGCTCTGATACTATATTACAAATTAAAAATTCAGAATTTATGATCATAATCAGGGATGATGTCATAACTAAACAGTAAATACCCATGCAAATCATATTTATAATGATCTTAAAAACTTATTTGTATGACTTAATGCATTGCTATTTATTACATAGATATTATTGTATATACATATGGCTTATGTTAATTGGAATACATATGGACAAATATATTAAACAAAAAATGAACAGTCCTAACTGTTGACTAAATAGAATGTCAAAAATAAAAATGCCATAAATAAAAGTCATAATAGATCATGAACAAAATAAAATAAAATAATAAATCTGCAGTTTTGCTTACCGCCCAGGTCTTGCTCAATCTGAAGATAGGTGCGCTTTGAAGAGCAGAGACCACTGACACCAGAGAGTGCAGGTTATTCAGCTCCAGGAGTTTCTATAAAGACACAAGACACACAATCTTAATAAACATAAATTAGTTGCATGCCTCATGTAAGACACCACTGTAGGCCTTTACTTGTTTGTTCCACTGTGTTTTCTGGTCTGGTCATGTCATGCTGTTGTCATTCTTTTCTTTTCCACTACACTGACCTCTGTGAACTACTATGTGTCAACCACCTTTATGGAAAGTAGGAGAAAAAGCAATGCTGCTTTGGTTTTTTAGTCATTGGCTGATCTGCTTTATCCATCAGCATAACCGTTAGCGTAGCCCACTCAGGCTTACTGGGGCATGTCTGCCGGTAGCAGGGTACACAGCTCTTTCAGGTTTGGCAGGTAGTGTAGGGTGAGTGTTCAACCATAAGGAGTCGTTCAGCGGGTTTTCCTGTGTCATGGTACATTGAGTTTCAGGAGAGAATGTAGACTGATTGAATTCACAGCAGCCTGTGGCTCTGTGTGTGTGTGTGTGAGACTGTTGGCACGAAGGACAAGAAAAGCATCTAAATAAATGCATGATTGTGTGGAGAATTTTTGAAGTATAATTTCAAAAGAAATATTTATTTTTAAATGTATAAAAGTAATTCTAAAATAAATTTAAAAAAATCACACCCGTTGCCATGACTTATCGCGAGAGGCAAAAGGTTACGTTTTAGTCGCATAACATTGGTTAATGGAAACGCTGTCATTTCGCAATACTTTTTTATCGACATTTATAAAATATCGCCAAAGTTTTGCGCAAATCTGTAATGGAAACGCGCCTAGTGACTCAAAATGTGCAGCACACACTAGATCTCAAAATAAAGCTTTAATACACTCCTAAAAATGAACATAAACAGATTAATGAAAAAATACTGGAAATCATCAAATTATGAGGAAAAACTGTATTTGAAAAACAGTTTTCAGACAGAGTGTTTTCTCTTACGTACAGGCTTTAAAAAGTGCCAGAACATCAGTCAAATGAATCTAAGCAGCAAAACTGAATCGTTCCTTTTTTCAATCAGGAAATATAAGAAATTGGTTGTTAATGATGACATTAAAAAGACCGAAATGGCAAGTGTAATTGCAGACCTCAAATGACCACTTACATCAACATTCCAAGACATTTAAGCTCTGCCAAAATGAAATACCCTTTAAATAAAAATCATATTCATTCCTACTGCATACTGACCTTCGTAAGCAGATATTTATAGGAGTATTTTCAGAAATGGGGATAAAGAAAGTGTTGTGCATTTACAGTAAAACTGTGTGAATTGATGAATTGGTCAGGTCATTATAATGTGTGTAAGGATGTGTGTGTGGTGTGCAGAAAGAGGATGCAGGGACTCAAGGAACATTGTTCTGACTAGGTGGTACTTGGATGTTGTTTTCATTTGTCAAAAGTGGTGCTTTGTCTGAAAGTTTACAATCCGCTGTTGTAAAACATCAGTTCTGTATGTGTAAGTACTATTTATTATGTACTTCATTAACCCTTTCAAATGCATGTAATGCCACTTATAAAAAATGTGGCAAAACTGAAGTAGACAAAGAAGAGTGGCTGGCATTAGTCTGGAGAAAAGGGAGAAAACTCCATTTTTGTTGGATGTGTCCAGTGCAGTGTATTCATTCATCTAAAGGAGTTAATGCAGCTGTTGGATAAAATAGCTAAATGGAGCAGCATGATGGATTTGTCTTTTATCTGAGGCGCCTCTTTGTGCTACAAAAACTGTAATATCCAGTAAAAATACAAATTTCATGTGATCTGAAGCAACATGCATCCTCCATTTGAGCTTGTATAACGGACTTCTGTTTCACACTAATAGACTCATGTGTTAAACACAGAGCCTAAATGGCAGGCTCTAAAATAGTCTACATAAAATATACTTTATCAGCTATATAGTGAGGTTTCTAGCTGACCATGTGTCAAATTAGCATTAGTGCATTTGCGACTAAAACACAGTGTCAATGTTCCTCTTTCAGTATAATAACATCCATTGACCTCTATTATATGAGTTATTTCTGGTGGTGCTAATGGACCTAGGTCTCGAACCCTGAAAAAAAATTACACTATATACCTGTTATGAAACTGTCTCTTAAACTGCTATAGTATGGAAACAAAACTGAGATCTTACTGAAATTACCAATGCATCAGGAAACTACAAGTAAAATAACCAATATTAATCATCTAAGAAAAAAACAACAACAATATCTTAAAATAAAAATGTCTTTATACCACAATTACACATGTAGCAAGACAGTCTTTAGCTCATGGCACCAGCTGTCAATTTAAGACAAGTTTTAAGTTTAACAAACAATAAACACTGGAGCACCATAAAGCTTTTAATAAATGATCTTACCGGTTGGCTACACTGACTAGCACAATATTGTTTACCTGGTTAAATCTCCGTGTGAAGGCCACAACGTTGGGTGAAAGGCTATGCTTCTCCTTCTTGTTCCATCCACAGCTCGCCAGCTCCTAAACAACCAAACAGTCAATTCAACTTTTCAACAGTGTTTTATAAGTGTAATACTTAAGACTAATGCTTGCATTTTATCTATACTACCATTCAAAAGTTAGCTTTTTTATGTTTTTGAAAAAAGTTTCACAAAGATTGCATTTATTTGACCAAAAATACAGTAAAACAGTAATATTGTGAAGTAGTATTATATTTAAAATGACAAATATATTTGAATATACAGTAGTTAACATTTGAAGTGGATCAAAAAAAAGTTCATCAAAGTTGTCCTAAGACAAGAACGCATTTTGGTTTTAGGTTTTAGGACAACTTTGATCCACTTCAAATGTTGACTACTGTATTTTAAACTGTAATTTATTCCTGTGAATTTTCAGCATCATTACTCCAGTCTTCAGCGTCACATGATCCCTCAGAAATCATTCTAAGCTGATTTGCTGTGTAGGAAACATGTCTTATTATTATCAACATTGAAAACAGTAGTGCTGCTTAATATTTTTGTATATAATGAATATAAAATAAAAAACAGCATTAATATTTTACTGTCACTTTTGATCAATCTAATGCATTTGCTAATAGTACTAATTTCTTTAACTTTTGAATAGTAGTGTACTCTGATAATAATGAAATCACATTGAACGGCTCTTTATTACACATGCCTTACACCATTCCTTCATTCATGAAGTCAAAAAAACTGAGCATAAAAATGAGCATAAAAAGTAAAATAAAATACCCACAACACTTGAAGCGCCACACTATTTTCCACTTTAGCATTTACTGAGAATCACTACATATTTTACTATACTGTATTTGTTATTGACCTATAGTAGTATAAATATACCATCCTTGTATTGACTTAATTTAGAAATCATTTCTAAATGAACTGTAGGAATATAGGGAGAAAAGTATGCACAGAACAAACAACACATCTGTTGCTTTCATCTCATCGACAGAACAGCTTTGCATGGGGACTTTATATGGTTCTAAGCCTCCTCAGGTTCACAGAGCTATGAATACTAACACTTTTATAGTATCGTGCAGACTAAAAGCAGATGGAAACATTCGAAGGCATTTCAGTTTCCACATGGACTGAGTGGAGTGGAGTTTCCATGTGAATAAGCAGCTCAGTCTGGGTACAGTACCTTACCAAAATATTTTAGGTTTGTTTGCTAAGTCATCACTTTAAGCCACACAGTTCGTCAGGGACACAGCATAGCTATAATGTAAGAGTACTTGTTTGGTTATACACTACCATTCAAATGTTTGGGGTCAGTAAGGTTTTATTTTTTTAAAGAAAATAATACTTTTATTCAGCAAGGATGTATTAAATGTATTACATTTCTTGTATTTTGATTAAATGCAGCCTTGATGAGCATAAGATACTTCTTTCAAGAATATTTAAAAAATCTTACAGACTCCAAACTTTTGAATAATAGTGTATATTAGCAGTACATTTCAGTTTAAGGGGGTGTACATTTTTATTACTATTTTTTTGCACCCAAAAGAGTCATATTTCAGTTTTTCATTACAATTTTCCACCTTTCTTTCTGACCCTAAGATTGTGTGTATGTGTGCGTGCTCCAGTTTCCCCTGCAGGCAGATGTTTTAACAACACCATTCATGCAATATACTTTTTAACTGATCCTTCCTTTACGAACCTCATTGATATGTGACTGAAATGATCAGGGACCTTCTTAAAATCAAACTTCATAACTTAGAAGGATATCCAGAGCAGCATGCACAGCCAAGAGCAGCACAAGGTTTAAGCAATATACTTCATTTTACTTTTATATAACTATTATTTTTGGTTTTGACTTCCGAAAGTTACAATATGTTTTATAGTCGTCTTTATTTCAAAAGATCAAATATAATTTGATTCCATATGACAAAAGCATACAAACTTTCACACTTTATCTTTCATTCTGACTCGAAATAATTTCTGCAAAAGGTCTGTAGCCAAAACCAACTGTACAACACACCACTTTATGCAAAGAGACACTGTCTGCTCACATTACTCACACAGCACTAACAATTTAGCGGTTGTTATAGAACCAACGTACATCTGAAATCTATTAATCCAGTTGCCCGTGTCAACTTCACGAACATCTCCTTTTAGAATCCGCAATAATCCCTGAAGCATGCAGCTGAAATATTGATGAATGAATGTATGTGCATGTGGTCAAACGCAAAAATGTACTTATACTAGTGTTTCCACAGGCCAGTGAAACTTACAGGCAAAGGGCTCAACAATAACAAGCCCACTTTCGTTGTCAAATATGTCAGGGTTGGAAAGACTGAGTGAAATGAACGAATCCTGAATTAGTGGCGGAGGAGGTCAAACTCAGTATTTTTAAAATGAGCTCTTTTCCAGTGGGAACTTCTGCTGTAAGCAAATTAATTCAATGTGTTTCACGCTCTAGTCTTCTTCAGAGAAGGAATACCATGGTAGATGTTTTGCTACTTTTTATAAAATCAATCAGCTGAACAATTTATGTGTGCAGAGCTGCTGAGATGCAAACATGTCTACAGGAATAAGGATGGAAGATTTATCTTGACATAAAACAAGTTCATGCTCCACAAATCATTTTTACAATAAATCCATTGGCAACACCTTGAGTACAAGCAGATAAACATGACAGCACTGTCAGTTGTAGAGAAAACCAATTTTCACCTGTGACTAAAGAGACTCCAGGGGAGGAAGAGGCAAAATACTTCTCTGCTGTCTGCCAATCCAGACCTTTATTAATGTTTTAGAATGTCAAACACCTACACAAGGGCCTAACTGCATTGCTTTTTTTGCAGTTTGAAGGGTATATCCTTTTATTTAGATGTTTCAAGAGAAGAGCAATAATAGTATTAAAAACTCAATCCTGTTAATGCATAATTTTCCCTCATTATAAATATATATATATATTTTTTTTTAAATTGTGACACCCAAGAAGCAAGACTGGAATTCTGAGTATATTATTACCACTGACAAGCATCTGTCAAACTCAACCTTTAAACCCAGCTACCAACATTATTATAAAAAATATTAAACAAATAGTTTTCTTTGTTGATGAAAAACTACAAACCAGCACACTGTGCCACAAGTTAGCTATTAGTTAGCTTAATTTGGCATACATATACAACTATGTTAGTGTACATGTAACCATGTTACATACTGTTTTGTTGTTGTTTTACATTTAAATTTGTTCATTTTTATTTTTAGTGTGTGTGTGTGTTTTTTTGTAATGTTATTGCAAGAATCTCTTTTGCTCACCAAGGCTTCATTTATATGATTACAAATACAGTTAAAACTGTTTTATTATAATAATATTATTATAATTCAAAATAACTCTTTTCATTAAACTGTAATTTATTCCTGTGATGGCAAAGCTGAATTTTCAGCAGTTATTATTACCTCAGTCTTCAGTGGCAGAAATCATTCTAATATGCTGATTTGGTGTTGAAAACAATTGTCCTGCTTAATATTTCTTAATTATTTTATGGATAGAAAGTTCAAAAGAACAACATTTATTTGAAACTACATTTTCTATTAAATTTTCTTTCCTGTTCCTTTCAATAAATTTTATGCATCCCTGCTGAATAATTTCTTCCCAAAAAAATGTCTTACCGCCTGTAAACTTTTAAATGGTAGTGTATAATTAAATATATAAAATAAATCTGATTTTGATTAAGCCCCTTCTTTCACTGAATTTTCAGGCCTTTATTCATGGAAAGTGCTAAAACTCGGATATCCAAATTGTTAACACACTAGGTTCACCAGAATCAATCATACAGCAATGGTTGAAACTCTCATAATGCTAACTATTAATGCTGCCACGCGGAAAATCAATAAATAACAATAAGCCCATGGTCTTTTTAAACAAATCCAATCTAGAATGTCTGTGGCTGTCAGTGAGAAATGATTCCAACAGAAATTGACCTCAAATCCACACTGACTCATTAGTGCACACAGCTCAGAGGTGATGTCATGTTAACGAAGGACCGCAAAGATGTAGGTCAATGGACATCATCATCATAATGGCACTCACTTCACTTATGCTCACATATACTCTGGATAAAGTTCAAACAATCCCGACTCTTAATAAATGTAATAATTGATTTGCTCATCTCTTTGAAAAAAGCCAGCGATTCACACCAAGGTCACCATGAATGGAATCAAACGATTCCAGACGTGAAGCGTTAAGAAAAGTAGCTTGGTTAGGAGTAATTGCCAAACAATTCACTGCTCAAGCATTACGCCATCACTGGGTAGAATGTCTGGAGAGACCTGGAAGAAGCCTGCCTAATATTTCTTCATGATAAAATGGGGACACCAAAATGGTTCTCTCACCACACTCATATTAACCCTAAAATGTGAGACAAAACTGTCATATTTTCCCCATTTTTCATGTTATGTATTCTTTTCATTTGATTAATGTGTCTTTGACCATGTGATGAAATCAGTTCAACTGGATGGTTTAAAAACATTCATATTTATTATTTGCTTCATGTTATATTGATAGTGCCTCTCTCTTTGCTTTATAGGATCCTGAATCTGCCAGACAACCATCTTTTGATCATGGCAAGATAACATCAAAACTAAACACTTGTGCAAGATCTGGATAACAGCTAACATGGCCAAATGTAAACGTCAATGAAAGTTTATCACACTGAAAACGGTCTACACAAAACCTACAATAAACTGCAAAATGCCTTGGCAGACCTGTTTTCATTATCAGTGGAAAAACAGCAATTCTCTGATCACTGATCCTTGTCCAAACCTATCATATCTGTTAGGAGCGCCTTTCCATTGTCGTCTTCACAAAAAACATTCATTAAGGAAAGTACTGAGGGCTCTGTAACTCAGAGCAGAGGAGAGGCTCTGGTTAAAGTAATGGAAGAATGTGGAGCTAGATGCTGTGGGTACCGTGGTGTGTGTCGTTAATGCACTGCTATAGCGCCACGTCACACTAATCTGTAGCACCAGAGAGCACATGAGATCAGTCCACAGCTGTGGGTTTCTGTGTGGCTTGATAAAAACAGAGGATGTGTATTTAGTTGCCATGGATATCTGTCTCACCTCAGGCTGTATCGCTTTGAATACAGGAGCGTCCATCAAAGTGATCTGACTCTGCAAAATAAAAGCTACAGTGTTAAACTGAGTATTTCATAAAAAATATTCACTCCAAGTTCACTCAAAAATCATCATTTAATAACCTCATGTCATTCCAAACCTGTATGATGTTCTTTCATGCATAGAACACAAAAGGAGATGTTTAGCAGAATGTTCAAGCTGCTCTTTTCCGTATAATGAAAGCAGATGGAGACCGTCGTCATCTCTGGTCACCATTTGCTTTCAATTCAATGTATGGGAAAAAAGTAAATAGTGAACTATTACATTAACATATTTAAATGGGGCACTTTAAAGGTGCAGTAAGTAATTTTCGTTTACGTGGAATTTTTTGTTTCTGGGAGGTTTAAATATACTTTATAAAAGTACTATTGATTTCTTGTGGGGTGAAACTTTTTTTTTTCAGACTGTGTATCTGTCAAATGCACCTAGTGGAGGAAGGCTTTACAAAGAGATGATGTATCTGAATCTTTCTGTCGCACCAGCTTTTGAGGCACATAATAACTCAGTGAATGTTTTCATTGTTACTGTGCATTAAGCATTGACATTGTTGCATTATTAAATAAAACCCTACTGTATCATCAAGGCAGAGGGATTGTAATACCTCTGCTCTCAGGAATTCACATGAGGGCTCCGTGCAAGCATGTGATGAGCCTGTGAGTGACAGTCAATCACTCTTTTAATCAGTGATGGTCCACCGAGTGTCAAGGCTTTAAAATGACCACCTCTTACAGGAGTTTATCAAGCGTGACTCTCACGCTGTAGCCCTAATGCTGCTCAGATCTCATGTAGAGAGATGTCCTCATTTGTCACTAAAGCTCATGATAGTAAAATAGGGCATTCTAAGTCAATATACTGCAGTATTTCCTCTCTCAATCAGTAGAAAATATGGTTAACACCCGGTCATGCATGAAAAAAAATACCGTCATGTACCGTGAAACCGGTATAATTTTGAAAAATACCGTGATATAAATTTTTGGTCATACCGCCCAGCACTAGGTTTCTATAAATATAAAAAGATCCATATCTAATGAATAGGTAATTAAATGCTTCCCTTGAGCTGGCATATTACATTTGTGAGATGGAAAGATGAAATTTCATAACTAGGCCATTGTGCACATTTTACTTAAAAGTGATGCATATGTTTTTGAAAAAAAAACTGAAATATGTTGCCCTAGTTTTAAATCACTGCAGTTTCCATGCCAAACCCTCACTGAGTGGCACTAAAAATATATTTTTCCAATACAGATGAGGCGTTAATAAAGTTAAAATATTAATGTCCTATAATCAACTAATGTTAAAAACCTCAAACCATCACTCGTATGTGCATTTTTTATTCAAAATTCAGAAGAGAATTCAGAAGAGACAAGTTTTATGTGAGAAAAAGACTTAAGTTTACGCTTCTATTAACTGATAAACTACCCCTCTAATATTTGTTGTATGTGTCAATCGAACTAATATTTGCCTTGGATTGTTGAGTTTTTGATGATTCCAAAGAGCACCGATTCATGGAGTTCACACCCCTGCAGCATTTTTGCATATTTTTGGATGCATAAAAGTTGTAGGGCTTTTATCACAACTAGTGGTCATTTACACAACTGAAGCAATACTTGCATCAACATATTCATATTTTTACAAAAAATGAATGCAGTGTCACATTTTGACTCTGGAGCACTGGAGCATTTATAAACTTACAGCAAACTCCTCGGGTGTCACTTTGAGCATGTCAAACACCACCGCGTCAAAGCTCTTGGCAGAGTCCAAACTCCGTCCATCCAGGGACTCTGAACTACTGCTGTCCTGCAAACACAGGAGGAAGACAGGCTGGAAAGAGATAGAAAAACTCAACATAATATCAGGGTTGATATTTCAAACACCTACAAAATCCATATGGACAAAGAGCCATGGCCATGGCACTCTTCCTGTGGACATTTAATCAGTTTAATTACCATTGTCCATTTGAATTACTTCATTACATTTGATTATTCAGCACATATGGTAAAAATGGATCAAAATGCAACCAAATCACTTTATTAACAGGCAATCCAGCACATACTGTAATTAAAGCCAGACAAAAATAGACCACATAACAAAGGCCAGAGAAGGAAAGATACAGTCACGATGAAAAGATGGTTTCTTCTAAAAAAAACTGAAATATGTTGCCCTAGTTTTAAATCACTGCAGTTTCCATGCCAAACCCTCACTGAGTGGCACTAAAAATATATTTTTCCAATACAGATGAGGCGTTAATAAAGTTAAAATATTAATGTCCTATAATCAACTAATGTTAAAAACCTCAAACCATCACTCGTATGTGCATTTTTTATTCAAAATTCAGAAGAGAATTCAGAAGAGACAAGTTTTATGTGAGAAAAAGACTTAAGTTTATGCTTCTATTAACTGATAAACTACCCCTCTAATATTTGTTGTATGTGTCAATCGAACTAATATTTGCCTTGGATTGTTGAGTTTTTGATGATTCCAAAGAGCACCGATTCATGGAGTTCACACCCCTGCAGCATTTTTGCATATTTTTGGATGCATAAAAGTTGTAGGGCTTTTATCACAACTAGTGGTCATTTACACAACTGAAGCAATACTTGCATCAACATATTCATATTTTTACAAAAAATGAATGCAGTGTCACATTTTGACTCTGGAGCACTGGAGCATTTATAAACTTACAGCAAACTCCTCGGGTGTCACTTTGAGCATGTCAAACACCACCGCGTCAAAGCTCTTGGCAGAGTCCAAACTCCGTCCATCCAGGGACTCTGAACTACTGCTGTCCTGCAAACACAGGAGGAAGACAGGCTGGAAAGAGATAGAAAAACTCAACATAATATCAGGGTTGATATTTCAAACACCTACAAAATCCATATGGACAAAGAGCCATGGCCATGGCACTCTTCCTGTGGACATTTAATCAGTTTAATTACCATTGTCCATTTGAATTACTTCATTACATTTGATTATTCAGCACATATGGTAAAAATGGATCAAAATGCAACCAAATCACTTTATTAACAGGCAATCCAGCACATACTGTAATTAAAGCCAGACAAAAATAGACCACATAACAAAGGCCAGAGAAGGAAAGATACAGTCACGATGAAAAGATGGTTTCTTCTCAGCAAATTATCCTGACAGATCCCCTTTGAAGTTCCCCCATTCCATCCAGTGTAATATCCGTACTGATGCAGAATCTCTGTCTTATCTGCTCTGAGTGCACTCTTAATTGCTGGAAGATTCATTCATGCCCTCATTTCGAGATTATTACTATTCAATGTGTACACTACCATTCAAAAGTTTGAAGTCAGTAAAATAAGATTACTATCATTATTATTTTTTTTTTTTAAAGAAATTAATACTTTTATTCAGCAAGGATGTATTAAATTGATCAAAAGTGACAGTAAAGAATTTTATGATGTTACTAAAGATTTCCATTTCACATAAATGCGGTTCTTTTTATTCATCAGCATTGATAATAATAAGAATTGTTTCTCTTAAACAAATCAACATATTAGAATGATATCTGAAGGATCATGAGATACTGAAGACTGGAGTACTGATGCTGAAAATTCAGGTTTTCCAACACAGATGAACTACATTTTAAAATTTATTAAAATAGAAAAGTTATTTTAAATGGTATTAAGATTTCAAAACATTACCGTTTTTACTGTAGTTTTGATTTTTTTTTCTTCAAATAAATAAATAAAATTTTTACCAACCCCAATCCTTTAAATGGTAATGGGTATTAATTATCAAGCTTTAGTACATTGTGTCTGTATCATGAATGTAAGAGTGGATGGCTTCATGGGTAGGCTGTGAAACCATTTCTCTTTCTCAATCTAAGATCATTTTTCTTGTTCTTTAATGTTACAAATTATTAGCACATTTCACTTTTGGGACATAAATGGTTTCTCTGCTGAATCTTTAAGCAAGGCCTGACTTTTCTTTTTTTAAATAAATATTCATGATCGTACCATGACCAACCATAAACTCACATATTATTTCCAAATAAACTAAATAGCCACTAAGAAAATTGAGGCAATATGCATCACTGCTGCAATTAAACTCCTAACTGGCAGTTTCATTTGGACAACATCAATGTGAAAACAGTTTTGAAAGATCTTTTAGTAAGTCCTCTGTCCCAATGCAGACCAACTCCTCTTACAAAACTGTCTCAGTTTGCTTTATAAATATAAAAAGAATCAATGCTGAAAAAGTTCTCATTCCATAAATAATTACAACCTGGCAACACAGTAATAATAATAATAAATACACTTTATGAACTTAGTTAAGACTTTATGAACCTATAAGTGGAAAACACAATACGTCACATCTTCTGAACTATCTGTGAGTTCGAGTTCACACGGTATGTCAATGACATAACATCCTGCCAGTGTGTATTTGAACTGATCAGCACTGATGGGCCAACAAGCTGCTATTTCTCTGATCTGATCTGATTCCCCTCAGCAAGCCAATATCATGTGATCTAACTTGGATGCTGTTCACAACATTCAGTTCAGACTCAACAGCGACCCAAATCAGCTTCTGAGCAATCACACACACCACTGAGGCTATAATGATCAGCAGCAATAAATCTTTAATTTATAATCCATTACGCACAGTTTAATGTACAGTGCTGATGCTTCAGCTGATTATCCTTATTTACCTATCTCAATTCTGGCAATAACACAAAATGAAATGAAATAAAATAAAATAAAATAGATAAATCCATGGCACAGCTATGTATAAAATTGGCCGCCAGGTGTAACGGTCATAGTTGAACTCTTTAGTGAACAAATAGGATGTGTTTAGTACCTGTGTGTGGCGGGAGGTGATGCTGACGCTGGCAGGGAGTCCATTCCTTCTGTACATGCTCTCAGTCAGAAGAGAAGACTCAGATCACAGCCGACCTCAGCTGCTCACCGCCACACACGACCTCTCAGCCATCCCTGGAACACAACACACAAGCACACACATTACACCTTATTTGTGACTCTGGACCACAAAGTCATAAGGGTACATTTTTTGAAATTGAGATTTATACATCATCTGAAAGCTGAATAAATAAACTTTCCATTGATGTATGGTTTGTTAGGATAGGACAATATTTGGCTGAGATACAACTATTTGAAAATCTGGAATCTGAGGGTGCAAAAAAAAAAAAAA